AGCTGTCAGCACAGAGCCCGACACGGGGCTCGAACCCACGAACCACGAGATCATGACCTGAGCCGAGTCGGACGCTTAACCGACTGAGCCCCCCAGGCGCCCCCACAACGGTCATTTTTAACCACTCCATAAGCATACTGGAATCCCGACCGCTTGGTTTCTGTTGCCCTGCCAGTACTTCCTGAGTGTCTATTTCACACGTTCTCAGCCTGTACCATCTTTAATAGAATAAATTAACTAAGTCAAGGAGGAATGTCTTCTGTTAGTCGAAACTGAGTACATTGAATTTCAAAGCTGCCTTCGGTGCTGTTATATAAGAACTGTCAATCGGCTGACAGTGTTCTTTCTCATCCTGGCGTCGTAACTTGACAGTCTCCTCTTTAAAAGTATTTACATTCCCCAAAGCATGTAATGTGATTTTTTTTTACTGCACTGTAGTGACAATCTTATGTTCCATGATTTTATTATACTTTTGTGACACATTTTTGTCCTGTCCTTTTTTGACATCATTTTCTTATTATGACATTAGTACTGAAGAATAAGAGTGTGAATATCAGTCTTTTATAAATCTATTAGTCTTGTCGGAAAAGAGGGTATTTTTCTTTCCATAAGCTAATTCTTCCCAATTGTTTTTCAATACTTTGCACTACTCTACTCTTTCACGCTCCATCCTTCTTTTCAAATAGTCATAATTCACTGGAAAATGACCTATTCTTCAGGTGCAAAATTCCTATAGGGTTTCACAGCATCAGCAAATATTTTTAAATAAAATCAAATCATAAAATTCAGTGTAAGATTAATTGCAAGAACAGGCTTCACCTGATGTCCTGAAAAAGCACTTTTACTATTAAAACAGGGATGTATTACTGAGCTCCAAACAATTTTCAGATCTACAGCTTATTGAGATGAAGCACTGGTATTTATCTGTATAGCATATAAGTTGCTTTTCCCACAACTGAAGTGTTAAGTTCATGTACAGCCTGAAGTAAAACACCGATTCTGAATTTTTTTTCATTCATCTGGGAGTTCATTAGTAAACAGCTAACGGCTGATTGCTGGTGGTTATTCTGTTGCCAATATATTAACTCATTTCTACTGTAACTGGCTGAGGAAAAGCTTTCTTTTAGCTTTAGGCAATTACATGCAGACTAGAAAGATTGATGGGTAATGTTTCGTTTTTAAGGGTTAAAGTAGCAGACTGGAAATGTTATGCTTAAGGATAAAACAGTGAGAAGCCTTCACTCCAATAACAAAATATTTACACATTTTTACACATTTACAAGAAAAATGTATGCATGCGATACAAATATTTAAAAGTAGAGAAACCACACTTAGCTGTCACAGAACCACTGTTTCTGTCTGCAGTCATTTCTACTCACGACGGAAGGGGTGAATAAGAAGCCTAACTGGCACACTTCATCACTATCTAATAACAATAAAACCCTAAAGCCCAGTTCTCAACCTACAATGTTTGTGTCGGATTTAAAAGGAAAACCCTGCTAGATGACTTTTACTGCAGAAGAAACGTCTGTCCCATGGTTCATATACCCTTTGCTTTGCTAAAAGCTTTGTTAACTGAAATGGATACAAGAATTCCCAAATAACTTAATTAACCTGCATGTTCAAGGATTTAACATTCTGTTTAAGAAGATGTACATCTCAGTACATCTTGAAAATCTGCCTAAAACACGACAGCTCTCTCTTTCCTGTCCTCCTGAGGAGCACAGAGTACGAATAATCTAGTTCTTTGACGATGACACCCCATCACCACGTCCAGCTCAGAACACACTATACACTTCTGCCGGGAGAAGCCAAAGCTGAAAGCTACCAAGACAGGGTGTGAAGTGTGAAAGGGTCGGACTGAGATCAAGCGGGGCTCCAGGGCAGACCCTGAAACGGCTTTCAAGGTTTCCCTGACAGAAAATTTAAATGTTATTCATTCATGTCTTTTGATGACCCGAAAGCAAGGTGGGGGGCAGCTAATCGAAGATCACCGCAGCTCTACTCCACAGAGGGGGCCCAAGGGGAGTAGCGGGCGCCACTGACAGCAGGGCCTTCCGAGGGAATTCTGTCCAAATATGGAAATGCCAGCCAGTCACGTTCACGAGCACTGACGGCCACTGGTTTTGTAGAGGAGGCCCTGCCTGTACCTCATCTCGGAGGTGCCAACACGAGAGCAAAACCTACTGTCCGCTAAGTGGGCTCAGAAAGGAAGAGGGTCAAGGTCGAGTACATTCCTGAAAGAGAACAGTTTCAAGATGAAGAGTCCGTGTAGCAGGGCACAGAAAGGGGGGCCAGAGGGGCACCGATGAAGGAAGTGGCGGGGCACAGGCACAATAAAAGTATCTTCTAACTGATCCTTGACTAGATATTTTATTAAAGAATACCAACATTCTAAAATGATTTCTTTCCCATATGTCACATATTTATTACATTTGATAGACATGTTATACAATTCAAGACCTTAGGAAACAGAAAAACTTGTTAAAAACATAGTTGTAAAAAGAATAAAGCAAGTACTTACTTGGAATAAAACTGCACCTGTTAACCTATATGTATCTAAAAATCTTATTTGAATTACCCAATTATGTCTTTTATTATCTAAATATCTAGAACCGTGATTTTCCGATTGTTCTGAAATGTTTTAAAGCCTCTTTTCTACTCTAACTTGCTATCTGTACACTCTTCTAAACGCCTGTTAACATAAAAATGACTAGAAATGCATTATAAGTTATCTAATGAAGTAAAAGGTAAGCAGAAAAATGGTTATTTCTAAATGTAATTCTAACTTATCTGAAAAATCATACATCTGATTTGAAAAGGATCCCCAAGACTGGCTCCAACCCCAATGCCACCAAAGGAAGGAGCAGAGGCACACAAAGGCTCACTGGCCTGCACCTATGTCAGCACGGGTGGCCCTGGGCTGCAGCCCACCCGCCAGTCCCACGAGGCTGCCACACGGGAAAGAGGAGGGGAGCGGTCCTGTCCGATCCCGAAAAAGAGAGCCCTGTATCGGCTTTACGGCAGGTTTCCTACGTGTAACCTGTCATACAGGTATATCCACGTGACAGCCAGTCCCACTGCATGTCACGTTTCAGGGAAGGAATTGAATAAACCCCATCAGACTCGTGTTGTAAATCCTTGTGATTAGGCCACCACAGAAAGTACCAGAAATGATTCTCCTGCCTGACAGGGAAAAGCAAACCGGCTGCAACCTCTATTAAACACAAACCAGCACAACAGAGACGGAACCCTGCTACTTGAAGTTATCTCTGGTAGAGACCAAGTGCGCTTTCCAACATGTAAGCAGCCAGTATGTAAGTATGTAAGTATCCTCCGACACGTAAATACCAGCAAGGAGATTTTTCAAGTAGAACTGAGAGATAAAGGAGCCATTTCTTTATCTTTTTAAGATAGGGCTCAACTTGAAACTTATCTTTAAAACGAGACATTTTCATAATCTAATATGTAATTTACTAACCATATAGGGAAAAATTTACAATTAAATCTACGCTGGAAGCTAGGTTATTTTTATAAAGTCACATTGGCCAAGCAGTAATTTTATCAATAGCACAATTTTACTACCACCTATCTGAAAAAAATCCCCCCTGCATAGTTGAAACAACCTCTGATTCTCCACAGCATCATCAAAATGCACTAAATGCTCAATTATGAACCATAATAATGTTGTACTAGGCATACTAAGAAGAAAATAACATAAACCCAATACCAGAGGGGTCAAATAAACTCTAAAACTTAAGGACAAAATTACAAGCGATACACACACACACACACACACACACGTACAGAAAACAAGAGCACCTATAAACTGGAAATGACAGCAACAGGTGAACACTACAGTCGCATAATTGGACATGGGACAACAGCGAAGTACAGGGGGAGACACAGGACCACCACCTAAATTCTGTAAAATTTTAAACCGCTGAATCTGGACCAGGTGAATAAAGAGAGACTCCCAAGAAAGAAAGGAAACCGTTAGCGGCAAAATGAACTGAACAGACAGGAGGCCGTTCATACAACAGCAATGTGGGGGCTGCACCTACTCCCGGCTCCGCTCCCAGGGAGCCCGAGTGAGTGGCCTTCCATAGACAAATCTTCAATGAGAGAGAAGATTTCTAAGAAGCTTCTGGGTTCCAAAATTCTGTGTCTGCGATGCAAACGGATTCTCATCACCCCCATACAGAATGTTAGTGGGAATTAGGACCTTCCTGACTCTCTACCGCGCTCTCCACACAGATGTAGGAGGCACGGTGCGGCAGGACCAGAGCACGCCCACCCAGCCGCTCCCCACACCGGGGGAGCCCACTTTGTGCGCGTTGCGGTGCGAGAGCAGCTTCTTACCGCAGCGGGGCTCCTGAGGAGTTCCTTTCATAAACAGCATGCAGGGGGCGGCATGAGTTAATTTCTTCAGGCGCAGGTTGAGGTCTTCTTTTGGGGGCTCATTACCACTGGGTGGGAAGGAGCCGCTAGATGCGTGTCGCTGAACTTTTTTGGTCAACTCTGGAGCATGTGCACCATCTAATCGGTCAATTTTCTGAGAATTCTGAAGTTAAAAAAGTCATTTAGAATATGTGAGGCATTCTTTTACCATCTCTGCGAAGCTCCAAAATTATAACAAGCACGAATCCGTAGCTCTAGCCGATTTTTAAAGGGGTCAAAACCACTTACTAGTAGATAAGGTTTTAAAACTCTGATTACCAATTGGCAGAATGCATCTCCATTTTAGAAATATGTAATCATTTCCTTTTTTCCCCTTTTTAAGAACATAGTGGGAAAACATTGCTACACCTCAAACTCAAACCAGATCAGAGTCCAACCTAAAAGAGAAAAGATTCCTCCACCCTCATGGGGATTAATCTATTGCTAAGTACAAATGCAGTATTTGGGAGAACTGTGGAACACTCAGGGGTGCCCTAAAGCACAGATTTGCACCTGCTTCCTAAGAGAGTCATTAATCAAACCGGGACGAATCAGATGCTCCATTCTACCCAAAGCGGGGAACATGTTGGGTCTACAGCCGAGTATCTAGATTGTTCTCCAGAAGCTCCAGCTCTGCTTGCTAGACCTCTATATAGCCCATGTCACTTCTGCAGGATGCCCCCGGCCAAGCTTCAGCATCATTGCAAACAAGGAGACTACAAGAAGGCAGGGCAAAGTCAGGAACACCCAAGTGCCTGACGTTCAGGGATCAGGGAAAGGGGTAAAGGAACCAAGACAGAGCGCCCGGCCCACTGTCTCTTACAGGGTCTCTTGTGCCATCTGTATCCTTACCTTGAAAAACAGAAAGGTGGGAACGGAACTAATTTCATATTTTTCAGATACTTCAGGAACGGCTTCCGCTTCCAACTTTAAAAACAAAAGGATGTAAAGCTTGATTATGAAAAGGTCCTTTTTTACGACTTCAATACGTCTATCAGAGTCACACGCAGCATCCCTTTAAGTAGGTGATGTTTTTAAAGAGTCTGGTACAAAAGTTTATGACACATTTACATTTAAATGAGACTCACTGGGCTGGCATGTCATCCACTGAGTCTGCAGTGTCAAAACAGGTTCAGAGGTTTTTATTTTGTTGCACATTTCAAAAGATGCCTGGAGGCTGTGAATAAAATTTTTGGTGCACTAGTGACCTAGTAAATTTTCAATCATATGCAGCTACTACTATATTGAAATCCATAAATCACTGACCCCAGTTATGTCATGATTACAGTGCTTATTTTCTGCCCACAGCAATTCTTGCTGTTTGCTCTATTGACTAATTTCAAGAGGCAGTACATCATGACTGACAGTTGCAGCCTTCTGCAAATTATGAAGCAAAAAGGAGTATTTCTTCAATAAACTATTGATGTCTGATAAATTTTACTTTTAACTCCTGCAAGGCTGCCGGACACTAGGCAAAGATCTTGCTAGCTTATTTACTTCTGGGTCTATTCATACTAAATGCATTTTAAATAAGATGACTGCACTCTGCTTCATGATTTTCTTGAGGCCCCTGAACAAGACACGATAAGCTATTTGACATATGAATGTTAAACATATTTAGTAACTCAACTTCTACATAATTAGAACACAGTTCCTGTAAGCTATTTATGTGTAGGAATTTGTAAACCTCACACTTTGAGAAAAACCACAACATAATATTATATCCTTCCCTCACAGGACTGTCAATTTAATATAAAACTTTTTAAAACCAATAAAAATCTGTATTCACATTATACCTGTAGGAAATAAAATTTATTGATAAATTATATTGTTAAAAGAGTTAAAAATATATATCCTGTATTTTCCAGGAATGGAAGATTTCCACTGGGCTTGAAACACTACTCTTATCTAGAGCCTTCCCCAACCCAGCATCCATCTATCCAAATGAACCTTGACGGTAAGTGGGAGGCACAGTCATTTGTCTTTGGTTTCTGTCTTCCGTCTCATACATTCCTGGGTGCTCTTTTACTACTTTATTTTTGTTTCTTTAAAACACCCTTTTGAAACAATATTTTTAATTACTTTCTTTTTTCACAATGCATTAATGTGAAAATTATATACATTTTAAGTCAACATCAACTGTCCAATAAACTTAAAAAATGAACAAAAACAAAGCATTTGGAGACCACCACTTAGAACACGCTTTCTAGGGGCGCCTGGGGGGCTCAGTTGGTTAAGCGTCCGATTTCAGCTCAGGTCATATTATGGTTCGTGGGTTCAAGCCCTGCATCAGGCTCTGTGCTAGCCAGCTCAGAGTTTGGAGCCTGTCTTCAGATTCTATATGTATCTCCCTTGCTCTCTGACCCTCCCCTGCTCACGCTGTCTCTCTCTCTCTCTCAAAAATAAAAACATTAAAAAATACATTAAAAACGTTTTAAAAAAAGAACACGCTTTCTGAAAGTTTGAAAACTTTTGTGCTGTTTTCTTTCATAGAACTGCACACTCAAACCAAAGAAGAACAGAAAAGGCAATGATTAGGGCAGTTCATTATTTTCTCTTGGAACTAACACCTCTTGAGTGCCCACCACACACTGACACTGGGTGAGGCTCGGTTACGATCCCTATCTTTGATACGACTGGATTCTAACTGCAAAATAACACAAATTTTAAAAAGGCGCAATACTAAGGGGTGCCTGGGTGGCTCAGTAGGTTGCATGTCCGAATTCAGCTCAGGTCATATCTCACGGTCTGTGAGTTCGAGCCCTGCGTTGGGCTCTTTCCTGAGAGCTTGGGAGTCTGGAGCCTGCTTCTGATTCTGCAACTTCCTCTCTTTGCCCCTCCCGGCTCGTGTTGTCTTTCTCTCAAAAATAAACATACACTTTAAAAGATTTTTTTTTAAATAAAAAGGCGGGGGGGCAATACTAAGCAAAAACAAAATATGGTCTTAAACCAAACCAAAAGAGGCAACACTGGGAACCGTAAAAACACATTACTCTGTGCCGCTTAAAGCTGCCTTCCTCTCATATTCCTGCTGGTTTCCAACAGTCTCCCTTAGTGACAATTCTTCTAGGAAGCAAATAATCCTCTTGAAATTCCTAAAGCCAGGAGGATCACCACAAGCACCTCTCCTCAAAACAGCTCCCAGCGAGAGGAGATCTTAGTAAGACAAAAGCAATGGTGACAAACAAATCCTCCCAGAGCAGGGGCCAGGAGTGGCACAGCCAGCCATTCCTGGGAACACCAAGGCTTATCTGAGATCCTAAAACCTTTGCAGCAGTAAAATTCTTTGGAAACATTTTCACTGGATGTAAAACAACATGACAGTTCTATCAATGAAAATAGAAAATAAATATTGAAAAGTGAGCCACATTGAGAAAAGGCCAAAGGAGGTCCATAATAGCGGTCTTTCATGGAAACCTACTGTGTTTCAGGACAGGCTCTTTGCAGACAACTGCCTAAACTACTTAACACCTGGGAAAGTGTGTATGTGGTACATTATCACCTCAACCTTACAGGAGGCCAGGTAAAGATATAACCTGTCCAAAGACACATAGTTACTAAGTAGGAGAAATAAAACCAAAACTGACTACAAAACCTATGCTTTTCTCCACTATACTAGGGTAAACTTCTACTCTATCAATCAAAAAGAAAGATTTAACTCAAAGACAGGATTTGTACATGACTTTGGCACCTACCACACATGAGCACTTCCAGAACGGAATCCCAGACAGAATGCTTTGTTGGGAACCACAACCTGCTGCACCATGACTCTCAAACTCAGACCCTCCCCACGTGCAGGGAGGACAGGGAGCCGCTACCACAGCACGGTAACTGCAGACAGAGGCAGGGAGCTTCCTCTCCGCAGGCTCAGCAAGCACCACTCCTGCGCTGTTCGTCTAGGCCAGACACCGTCCTAGTGCACTGTGTGTACTGGGTCATTTAGTCCACATGATAATAGATGCTGTCATTACACCTAACTTACAGGAGAACTGGAATTTCACGACGTTAGGTCACTCAGCCGAGATGACAGCAATGGTGAGTACTCGAGGAGGGCAGTGTGGCCCCAGAGCCAGGCCTCCCTACACCGCCAGGCCACCCGTGCACCAGATTCAGGGGTTACTCTTCTTTCCTCATTTTACTGACCTTTCAGTATCATTAGTATGACCTCACCTACCTTCTCAAGATACCCTTCACTTGGCTTTCCATGTTTCCTTTTCCTATAGCCCTTAAGACTCAGTCTCTGTGGCTTCTTCCTTCCTTCACATCCAACCAACCTCTACATGGCTGGCCCTTCCCAGGACTTGGTTCTGAGCGCACTTCTCTTACTTAAGCACATTCTCCCTGAGTGGTCCCATCTAAGTAACACCATATGGCAACAACACCCAAGTTGTATCCAGGCCAGCCCCCCCTCCCCTCCAAGCTACACACTTGACATGTGCATTTGGGTCTCTACCAGGTATGTCCCACTAAGCTGTTCCTCCCTGGACACTTCTATCTTCTTTATCCATCCAGATGACCCAATCAAAACGGAAAGAAATTTGATTACTCCATTTCCCTCACCCAACATCCAACCCATTAACAGGTCTTCTGAGCTCCCCCTCCAAAATACAAGCCAACTCAGACGATGACCTCATTTTGATGCTCCCTTGCCACCAGTGTTCAAGGCATCTCTTACCTAGCCTGGGAAATAACCTCCTAACGTGTGTACTTGCTCCCAGTCTGCATCCTTCCCCCACTCAAACCACTCCCCACGGGACAGCCAGAGTAATCGACTTAAAAACAGAATCCGATGTGTCACTTCCACTGCACTCAATATAAAATCCAAACTCCACCAGTGCCCACAGGCCATCTGGCTGTTGCCTCCCCCTTCATTGGTACCCTCTCCTCCTTCACTGGCCCCACCTATACCCAGCATGCAGGCCAGGCCCTCGGGCAGCACTCACTTGCTAATCCACAGCCTAAACGTTTGCCCTGGCTCTCCAAGGGCTCCTTTCCATTTTCCATCTCTCACTTACTAGATGCACCTCTCCGGCCAGACGCAAATAAAGCACCCACCCACCCAGGTTCTCGCTCCTCTTCCACAGCCAATCTATTCTCTGAAATTACCTTGATGTTACCTGATTACCCTATTGTTCTGTACTCCCAGTGACCAGCAAAGTAGTGGCATATAAGCGTTGGATTGGGTAAATAAATTTTGACACAATACTGAATAAAATGGTGGTCACTATTGCTATGCCAACAATGGGAGTGACCACTGTCCAGTGTGACACGGATCCCCAAGGCTGAGGCGAGAACAATTAAGCCTGATATTTAGGATTATTTTGTCAAACTTCAAAGAGAGGCTTCTTTGTAACTGTGATTTGTGATATAAAAGGAAAATTTTTCAAAATAAAATTCCTTGTTCAAATAGATCTTTAATGCTTTTGACAGCTTTTTATTTTTTTTTCAAAAAATTTTTTTTTTAATTTATTTCTAGGAGAGAGAGAGACAGCGTGAGCAGGGGAGGGTCAGAGAGAGAGGGAGTCACAGACTGAAACAGGCTCCAGGCTCTGAGCTGGCAGTCAGCACAGAGCCCGACGCGGGGCTCGAACCCACGAACCGCGACATCATGACCTAAGCGAAAGTCGGACGCTCAACCGACTAAGCCACCCAGGCGCCCCACTGACAGCTTTTTAAAAGACCTTTACCAAGCTCAGCCCGAGAATGGCTAATGAACTGTTGTTACTACAGCATAAATAAAAACTAGGATATTTTTAAGATTTAGCAAATCTACTTGAATTATCTGAAAGGCATTTTTAGACTTCTCCAAAATCAGAATCCTACGTATGTTCTCTAAGATGCCAAGTAAACAACTGGTCAGTATTCTCTGACACTGAAAAATAGGAATTCAGCTGGTAAGTAGCTACACAGCTGGCTGGCCCCTTCTGGAGATCACCTACACTGCCTGTTTACAAACACAAACTGAACATTTAGAACTAAACACTTCTACAGCGATATAGAAATTATCTATACAGATTTGAGACACCCTCAGAAACAGAACCATGAGCTGTATTTTAAGATGCTTGCACATTCAAGAATCAAATTACAACAATTCTTATTTTTTAAAAATCAAAAAATACAAACTTAAGTATATAACTCCTATACCTTTTCCTTCACATCTGAAGTTCCAATGGACGTAAAGTAGCAAGTTCAGCAGAAAACTATACAAATCAGATTACTACTAAATGAAATAAAGTAGTACAAAACCTCACCACCCAGGTGGCTGATAGTCTTGACTTTGAGATTTTATGCACCAAAGTGCCTTATCTGATAAAATGAATACCACGGCCTAACTGGATCAGAATACCAGCTGGAAGAGAGACAGGGGAGGCTGGCATGGGAGGTAGAAGCCAACCACACAAAGGAAAGCAATAAAAAACTGAAAACAAGGTAAGGTAAAGGTTCCTACTTCAAATATCCCACCATCTAGTCAAGAAGCCAATCAAAACAGGAATTAAATGACAGAACAGACAAAAGTACAAGATATTCTCTAATAGTTGAACCATAGGTACAGACTAAGCTTGGAGATGGAAAAGGAAAAAAAAAAAAAAAAAAAGCCACAGGGGTACACAGGAGACTTCATGTAAAATGGATTTGATTTGAATGATCATGTTGTACACCTTAAAAATATACAATTTTCATTTGAAAAAATAAAATAATAAATTTAATAATAAATTGCATAAAATATTCCAATTAATAATTTAAATCACAATAAAATCAAACATAAAATTAAAAAACTGAACAGCCACTCCTATGAAAAGACGAGTTTGATTTGGACGGCGAACAGAACTGGCAGCACCCAACTTCACCAGCACAGGGAGCCTTGTGCTATTCTCGCTCCTTCCCAACCCCGCTACCAGACCCTACATCCTGAAAGATTCTATCTACCAAACAAGTGATTAAGCGATAAATGGGTACTGCCATTTTGAAGACAAAGAGCTAACAAACTGACTTTACATGATTTGAAAAGCAAGGACGTGTAACATTTTAATTAGCCATTTAATTTTATTCCAAACAAATGCTACGTTTTCAGTAAGACTTTCGGCAATAAAACCCCTGTATCTTCTCGAAGCCCTTGGAGGCATGCGAACCTCCAGCGGGACCCAGAGCCTAGGGTTCGGGCGAAATGGGAGTGGGTCAGTAGCACACCGCCAGGCGCGGGCGCAGACGTGGTGCCCAGGGGCACGCGGGCACTTCACCACCACCCCATCAGGGCAGGAAAGGAGGGGGTTCGTTCACATGCAATAAATGTGAGAGTCCTGCCTTTCAGCAACCTGCTCCAGCGAGCGCAAACTACTCGGACCAAAATGTATGCCAACTTTTCTCAGGTATTACTTTCCCATCGTCTACAAAATAAGAAACTGCTGATGGACACAAATTTTTACACTCAAAGTATTAAAAGGGGCGCCTGAGTAGCTCAGCTGGTTAAGCATCTGACTTCGGCTCAGGTCACCATCTCACAGTTTGTGAGCTCGAGCCCCACAGGTTCTGTGCTGACAGCTCGGAGCCTAGAGCCTGCTTCGGATTCTGTGTCTTCCTCTCTCTGCCCTTCCCCACTGTGTGTCTCTCAAAATAAACAAACAGTAAAAAAAAATTATTTTTAAGTATTAAAAACATTATGTTTGAGATCACTTACATGGTGATTCTGTAAATCTAAGTTATAGAATGGACTGATCTCTATAATTCACAAGTCAAAAATACCAGGCTGTTGGCAGGCAATTAAAAACTAAGAAATCAAACTAAAAGGCACAGATAGCAAAACATCAGTTCCCTTCCCTAGACTGTTCAAAAAGCTCTCAATAACAGAAGAAAGCTCTTCTGAATTGAACTGCACCCTCTCTTACTGGGGAATGCCAACAGAACTCTCAAATATTTTACTCCTTATTTGCCCATTTCAAACCCCACGCAGGTGCTCCCTGCCACTTAAAGACCAACTGCTCTGCAGAGTGAATTTTCACGAAGTAAGGACTCAGACTCCTGGGAGACGTGCCCCACCTGGCGCCGCCCCCTCCCCTGCGGGGCAGGTGCAGTCAGGTTCAGGCTTCCCAACTGCCCAGGACTTCCAGCCCCTGGCGCGCTGAGACACGTACAACTTAAAATCTCACTGCCAAGTGTGGTACCAATGTGAGAAGTAATTCTATAGTCGCTTTAAATAAATCATTCAGATGGCAGCCCAGAACAATGTGTCACCTACACCTGTAACATTATACACATAAAGGCAGACTTGCAACAATTACCATCATCTTGATTAATCTTATGATTGAAATGTTTAATCATTCATTTCACTTGTAATCATTATCTTTTATCACTGACCAAACATGCAGTTTTAATGTCTCCTTCTATTATTTATACTGGACATTTTAGGGTTACATTCTAAGGTTACATTGCACATTTCATTGGAATTTTAAATAAGTCCTTAAGTTTTAAAAAGCTAGCTATTATATCTACATTTGCTCTATCTTCATTTAAAAAAAAAACCACTGAAATGATTCGTGCAAAATTAATACGTACAGCCCCTTCTTTATAGGGCAGGACAGCAGGGCGGGGGCGGGGGGCAGGAGAGCCTTCGCACTGTACCCCTTTCATGCTGTTCTGATTTTTTTTTTAAACTTTTTCTTTAATGTTTATTTATTTTTGAGAGAGAGACTACAAGCAAGGGAGGGTCAGAGAGAAAGGGAGACACAGAATCCGAAGCAGGTTCCAGGTTCCGAGCTGTCAGCACAGAGCCCAACACGGAGCTGGAACCCATGAACCATGAGATCATGACCTGAGCCGGAGTCGGCTGTTTAACGGACTGAGTCCCCCAGGCGCCCTGCATGCTGTTCTGAGTTTGAGACATCTGACTCTAATACCATTCAAAGAACACTTATGTGTACAGAAACTGCCTGAAAGTTTAATCTCCTACTATACACATGAAGTAGCCTTCAGAATTGTTTTCAGTTCACATAAAAAGTGGAAAATAGAGAAGATGTCACTTTTAACTCCGTTTATGAGTATATTTGCTAAGCATGTCATCTGAACTCACAACTTTGGTCTTTTTTATTTCTTTAATTCCTAAGGATTCAAGCTTCTGAAACCAGGGTGTGTCTCCCTTCCCAGAAATTCATGTCTAAGATTCTCAGCTTCTCTACTGGGGCTTTGTGGTTTCAACCAGTACTAAGTCCTGAATGACAACATGAAATACGCTAAACCGAGCAGCGAATCCACAGCCGCAGCCACCACTTTCCTGGCACATGCCCACCCAAGGCACACTAGGAACACGAGCGTGCGGAGCTGGGGTGGGAACAAGGCGAGCCAGGGAGACACTGGGCTCCCTCCTTCTCTGCTTCCTAAACAGGCTGGAAAAGCTTTCAGTTTCTCTATCGGTCCGCATTTACCGGATCCCAGATCCCAGATCCCAGACAGCAGCTTGCTCCTGTTCCCCGGGTTCCCAGCAGCCTCACACACCCTTTTTCCAATCACCTTCCACAGCACACCTTGCTCTTCCATGAAGCACGCTCTGTCACTATCTTTACGATACTAAAACCACAATGGTCCACACTGGATGATCTAGTCCTCTTCTGCCCACAAACACCCCCACCGCCCCTCCTGCGATCGACTGGCTCTGCCCTCGCACCAAGCGTGTCAGGTAAAGTGTGGTGATTGTTACACTACTCAGGACTTGAGAAATGCAAAACAATTTTAAGACTTTTAAGAATAATCTACTGCAAAACTAACAAATGCTAACACCAATTACAAACGAGGAATTCCACACCCCTCCTCCCTTATGTTAATAAAATGCAGTCGGCCTCATAAATCAGAATTAAACTCACAGAAGATGCAACACTGGAAATACAATACCTTCACAAATGAAACTTGAGGGTGCTCTTTGGCCAACTCTGCCATCACATCGTTCATCTGAGCACACTGCGGAGCCCATGGTGCCCAAAAATGGACCACAAGGAGAGACCTGGAAAGCGACAAAATGCAATGTTTTAAAGCTACAGGGTCTTTAAAAACAAGGAAATACTTACATATATTCGATTCTATTACCAAACAACCTTTACAAGAATTGCTTGAATCGTGTTTATACTGCTATAATTCCGTTGTATCAAACACAAACTGAAATACAAGGCTCATAAGGTCTTGATGATCTTTCAGATGAATTTTCAAGTTAATGGTATTTCCTGAGTGAAGACTTAGTTTATATGAAGTGCTTCTAAATATTCATCCATCTCAACTCAGAGTCCTATAAATCACGTATGTTCTCAGATCCTTAGGAAAGGCGGAAACTGGATTTCTTCAGTTGAGGCGCAATGTCTGTGAAAAGGGACTGCAGATGCATGGTCACTACGAATTCTAGGATTCACCTTCTAAGCACAGCACCGTGATGCAGAGGTTAACTGTAACCGCAGGAACAGGATTAAAATGTTGAAAATGAAGGCACACAGGCAGGAAACAAGCGGAAAAAAGGAACTACTTTTTACAAAGCTGTGGGGGTTTGTTTATATTACACTACAAAAGATTTTCTAAAAATTGATAATATGTATGAACAGACAAAACAGTGGCTTAATAAACTGTTGACTAAATTCTTAGGAATCTCAGTGTACATTTATCAACTCTTTTCATGCAAAATGGTCTTGGCAAAAGTATCTTTTAAGTCTATCCTCATACTGAACTGAAAAACCCTTCCATAGAATTCTAAGTTCAAGTGTAACCACCCCAACCAAAAAACTGTGGAAAATCAGGAAGAAAACACATTTAAAATATATGTTACATAGAGAAAGGAATTAAGGACGACTAACCTGTGGGTAAGCAAAGGAGTGGCAACCTGTAAAACCAGTGAAACAGTGTGGCTGAGAGAAGAGTGAGCCTCCCATCCGGTGTCAGAGAACAGAAGGAAGGAGAGGCACTGGGGGAGTGCAGAGGTAGGAGGGGCAGGACGACTCCCCAGTCTCAGTGGCCAGCGGTGGCAGCAGGCACGCATCCCATACACAGGCCGCTATCCCGGGAGGAAAGGAAACCTGGTGGGCTGTTAGTGATGGTCTCCGGCTCAGGAAAGAAGTCTGTGCTTCATCCTCAGACAGATTTGGGGATCAAACAGAGCTGGCACCGAGCTCTCCAAAAACACAGAGGTCAGAGCCTCTGGGCTCGTCAACAGTCTTTAGGACAAAGGACAAGGAACCCAGGCAGTAGACCAGAAAATGGAGCCTAAAAGGCACAAGGTTAAAGGGCCTCACAGAAGTCAAGAGGAGGAGGAGGAAGGAGTGACAACCATGCGACGTAGGTGGAAGGACACCAGCAGCGCCGGACGGCGGAAGCACAGGTCAGACTGCGGCACGTGGCGGACTGAACCTAAGAGAAGTGGCTAGAAATCTACACTATAAGGGGTCTGTCTGTAAACAGAGAGAGTTCTAGGCAGAGAGAAAGACAGGATGAAGGGATTTGCTTTTTTTTTAAAGTTTATTTATTTATTATGAAAGAGAAAAAATGTAAGCAGAGGAGGGGCAGAGAGAGAGTGAGAGAGAGAATCCCAGGCAGGCTCCGCACTGTCAGCACAGAGCCCAACGCGGGGCTCAAACTCACAAACCTTGAGATCATGACCTAAGCCAAAATTGGATGTTTAACTGACTGAGCCACCCAGACGCCCCTGCTTTTTTTTAATACAAGAAAAGCTTCATGCGTACCTTGTGAGGGGGTAGTGCAAGTGGTGAGGAAAAGGCTGGAGACACAGGAGCGGCTAAGGACGCAAGGTCTCAGGGGCGGCAGGAGAGGGGAACCTATGAGCAGAGAAGAATTCACCTTGGAAAAGGGACGGTCTCCTCCAGGTCAGGAGGGAAGCAAGGATGGGTGAAGCTACAAAAAACGTTAGGTGTTGGGGGAGGGGAGAGCAGAAGGAGAGTTGGGGAGATGCTACTAGAAGTCCTGTTTTCCCAGGCAGGAAGCCCAGCATTTGCTGCAACAAAGGAAAATGGAGGGCTGAGGCGCCAGAGAGCACCGAGGCGGAAGGGAGGGCTGCCCAGGGGCACACAAGAGGAAAGCAGCAGGTTCTCAGGAGAGACCCTCCTAAGGCTGGAAAGGACATACTGTGGGCCCCTAACCAGTGTCATCGTTTGTGCCCAGCAGAACTCAGAAGCTTCAGGGTGCGGGTAGGGGGGCCTCAGGGCCCCAGACAGAGGCGATGCTGTGTCTCACCAAGCGCAGCATCCCTCTCCTCCTGGGCTACAGCCTGACCACACCTGCAGTTGTCTGGGGCCCTGGAACTTAGCTCTGGCCAGTGTGATGCAACCAGAAGCGATCCACCTGCCCCTCAAAACCCTTGGAATGATTCTCTGCAGAGGACACTGGGGAGGATCGAAAGCCTACGGGGATGGGGAGGAAGGAGAGAGGCCCACAAAAGGACCTCACACGAATGTTCACAACAGCCTCAGACACCACAGCCAAAAACTGGAAATAACCCAAATGTCCACAAATTGGAGAAACTGTTGTCTATTCATATAAAAGACTACTCAGCAATAAGAAGGAACGAACCATAGATCCCTGCAACCACATGCGTCTTGAAAACATGCTGAGCAACAACTCAGACATAAAAAGACCAGGAACTGGAGACTCAATTTACATAGAGTACCAAGAACAGGCAGAACTAATCTACGCTGACGGAAAGTGGATCAGTGGGGGGGGATTACCAGAAAGGAGCTAAGGAACATTCTGGGGCTCTATATTGTTGTGAATGGTTGTTACTTTTGTATGTACAACTATAAAAATTCATCACACCTAACTATTAAGATCTGGGCAATACCTCTTTTTTTTAAAAAACTGGGATACCACTTATTACTAAACTGAAAAAGATTTTTTAAATAATAATATTCCATGACAAAAAAAGATGGAGAAAGCCAAACATTTCTATATCCTGCTGGTAAAAATTAAACTGCAACCTTTCAGAAATTTCTTACACATGGCCAAGTATCTATCCTAAGAAGGAAATTAAAGAGACAAAGGTTTATGTACATGAATACTTTCCCATTATCTTACATAACAAATAACTGGAAAAATCAATTCTTCAACAATACTACAGCTTTTTTTAATGGTCATGTAACAAAATACTATCAAACCATTAAAAATCAAAATTCAAAGAATTTTAATGACATGGAAAATTGCTCACAATACGATTATATTTTTAAAAATTAAGGGGTGCCTGGGTAGCTCAGTCAGTTAAGCATCCAACTTCAGCTCAGGTCATGATCTCACAGCTCCAGTAGGAACTCGGCGTCGGGCTCTGTGCTGACAGCTCCAAGTCTGGAGCCTGCTTTGGATTCTCTGCCTCCCTCTCTCAGACCCTCCCCCACTCATGCTGTCTCTGTCTGTCTGTCTCTCCCCCCACCCCAAAAATAAACATTAAAAAAAAATTTTTAGGGGCACATGGGTGGCTCAGTCGGTTAAAAGTCTGACTTCGGCTCAGGTCATGATCTCACAGTTTGTGGGTTCGAGCCCCGTACCAGACTCTATGCTGAAGGTTTGCTCAGAGCCTGGAGCCTGCTTCAGATTCTGTGTCTCCTCTCTCTGCCCTTCCTCTGCTCACGCTGTCTCTCAAAAATAAATATATGTAAAAAACATTTTTTAAATTTTTTAATTAAAATGCTTCCAAACTTTATAACAGCATGATTCATACAAAAAATTAATATATTATGTGCCAATTATACTTTAAGAATTTTATTTTTTTATTTAAAAAAAATTTTTTTTTACTGTTTTATTTATTTCTAGGAGAGAGAGAGAGAGAGACAGCGTGAGCAGGGGAGGGTCAGAGAGAGAGGGAGTCACAGACTGAAGCAGGCTCCAGGCTCTGAGCTGGCAGTCAGCACAGAGCCCGACGCAGGGCTCGAACCCACGAACTGCGAGATCATGACCTAAGCGAAAGTCGGACGCTTAACCGACTAAGCCACCCAGGCGCCCCAATACTTTAAGAATTTTAAACAAAGGTAAAGAAAAAAGTACACCTACACAACTTAAGTTCCATTATCACTAACATGGCTTTGAAGAGTAATTTAAATCTTCATCATGGAATCTTAACTTCCTAATTGTAAAATAGCAACAACTAATTCCCTGGGATGTTGGGAAGAGCAAACAAGAATATAAAAACATTTTGAAAACACAAAAGTATGATAGTATTAATACTTATTTTAAGTTATCCACAACATTCTCATATTTAGCTGCTTAACGTTCTAATTAAGTACGCCATGTCTAGTAGCATAAGGATATAAACCTGAAATACAAACCCTGCCACTTTCTCTTAGGTTATAGGTAAGAGTACTCTCTGCAGGAATAATACAGTGTGCATGGTGCACAGAGGAAAACCTTTAAAGACCAGGTTCAGGGGCGCCTGGGTGGCTCAGTCAGTTAAGCGTCTGACTTTGGCTCAGGCCATGATCTCGCGGTTCGTGGGTTCGAGCCCCACGTCAGGCTCTGTGCTGACAGCTCAGAGCCTGGAGCCTGTTTCAGATTCTGTGTCTCCCTGTCTCTCTGCCTCTCCTCTGCTCACGCTCTCTGTCTCTCTCTCTCTCTAAAAAAATAAATAAAACATTAAAAAAAGAGAGAGACCAGGTTCAAATCCCGACTAATGTGATTTTAAACAACATAACCACCATTGGTTCTTCATCAGCAGAATAATTAGTGCTCAATAAATAGCTGTTTTCTCCCTGGCTGGGTGTTCGCTCCTGCAGTTGCTCATCTGCAGATCACACCAGCTACCGTTTGTTAAATACTATCAATACTTGACTCTTAAGTACTTTACACATGGGCAAAATCTCAATTACTCTGCAAATGTTTAGTATTAACATCCCCACTGCATAGACCCGTTGAGGCTTCAGCGATCTATAAACACCTGACACGACTCAAGCAAAAATTCCAATTCACACAAAATTTTAAAATTGAGAAGTGATGTTTAGAAAGTAGATTTTTAAATTATTACAATACCAAGTACTATTTAATTTTTTTTTTAAGTAGGCTTCACGCCCAACATGGAGTCCAAGGCAGGCCCGACCCACAGCCCTGAGATCAAGACATGAGAGGACATCAAGAGTCTGGCGCCCAAGTAACTGAGCCGCCCAGACGCCCCTAGTCAGTATTTTAAGTGCTCCCACTTTCACAAAAATCGGCAGAGATGTGCTCCTTCCTTGGACGCCATCCACCACTGCCCAGGTGCCTGGATCATCCCTACGGAAAACGTACCCCGTTTCCCGGACCACTTCCAGTACCAGCCGGCGGCGGGAATACACGGCATGGTGCCGACTGTGTGACTTTAAGGATTTTTATTTATGAATAAAAAAGTGAAACCTAAAAACCAAAATGTGCAACACACAAAGCAAAGCAGTCTCTCAGGTGATGCTAAGTTCAAACACGTACGGAGGGCAGGTCGGCACAGGCCCTGCTCGGTTCCAGAAGGGTCCACCTCGGGCGTCCTGGGGAACTCGGCCGCCCTGAGGGCTGAACTCGAGCGCCGGAGGACCCGGAACCCACCCTTCATCGGTGAGTATTGGTGGTCCCCTCGCCAACCCCGAACGATCTTCCACGCGAGCCTCAAAAGTCAGAGCAACCGTCTTGCTGAACACCTCGGACCCCGCCGCGTCCCCGGAGCGCCCACAACCAGAAGTGAAGGCAGTCTTCCCACCCGGCCCCCTTTCCGACGCCGGCACCCAACTCCCCCGCCCCACCTGCTCTGCCAAGCGGGGCTCTACCTGCCCCGGCGCCCAGTCCGGGGGGCGAACCCCCGCTGACCTGGGTCCACAGGCACCCGCTGCCTGGGAACGCCACGCAGCTACTCGGTTCCACACGGAGAATACTCCGGGCTGACGTTCCTGCGCGAAGGCAAGGCGCGGGTGCCCGCCCCGCCTCCCTCACCCCCACACCCCCCGAGGGCCACTACTCTAAGAACCCATCCCACCGTCGAGGAAACTGGGGCCCGGTTATGAAGCCTACCCGGGGGTCACAAGGCTAGGTAGCGGCGGGGTTGGGGACACGGTGCCCGGCCTCCGACCCCGGGACCCCACCGTGCTCAGCGGCAGCAGAGAGGTGCCGGCTCTCGGAGAACCCCAGTCCCCGGAGGGCCCACAGGGGAGGCGGCCCCGGAAGCCCTTCGTACGCGCTCCCCCGGCCCCGTGTCCCCTGGTGGCGGGTCCCCTTCTGGAGCCGTCCCCAGGGCCGGGAGCACGTGTGCCAGAGCAGCACAGACCCCGGCTCGGCCGGCTCCCCAAACCGGAAATCCCCGTCCGCGGCGGCAGCCGAGCTAGAACCCGCGAGCGCTACCGGATTATCCACACGCCCCAACCGCTCAGCTTCGGGGAGGCGGAATCGCCCAGCCGGCTGGGCCCCCCTCGGCTGCTGACAACGCGGCGGCCGGGTCTCCGCGCCCCTCCCCCGGCCCCGGGGCCGCCAGGCCGGGCGTCAGGGCCGGGCCGGGGGTCGGGCCCGGGGACCAGGCTCGGCATCGGGGCCCGCCGCCCGGGAGGCCGCCGCCCGCGTGCGTCCCCTCAGCCCCGCCGCCCGCCGTCCCGCTTACTTGGCTCTGAGGCGCAGCAGCTCCTCAAACTGCCGGGCTGAACCGACCTCCACCACAGCCGCCGCCGCCTCAGCCGCCCCCGCCGCCATGCTGCAGCCGCCAGACAAGAGCAATCGAGCGCGGGCGGCCGGCAGGGGCGGGGCCTCCGGCGGCTGCGCACGGAAGCCCCGCCCCCGGGCCCGCCCCAGGCCTGCGCCGGTCGCGAGCGCGGAGCCGGGGGCGGGGCTTCCGGGGCAGCGCCCGCTCGCCCGACCCGCGCGCTCCAGGCGCCCCGACGCTCGCCTCCCCGGGCGCCCGCTGCCCCCGGGGCGCCCGCTCCCCCGGGCTCCGCACCCTCTTGGCCGTTCCTCCAGCGGCCAGGAGAAGGGTGGGTGCGCTTGTGAGCGACTGCAGGTGAAGTCGGGTCCAGACGTCCCACAGGATGACGTTTTAATCTACAGTGAAATTAACTAAAAGGTGGGGATGGAACGCGAGAGATGTTACTGAATATGGCACATTACATTATTGAAAATGTAACGAGAGCCATGAACAACTGTTTTGTATCCTGACTGTACTTACATGTGCCAACCTAAACATAAAATTGCGTAGGACAAAATACACACAGATGAATTCCCGTAAAACGGGAATCTGAAGAGAAGGGGTGGGTTGTGTGATCTGCACCTCCTGGTTGCGGTTTTGTGCTCTGGTTTTGCGAGATGTCCTCTTCGGGGGAGAAGGTACGCAGGATCTCTGTATTATTTCTTACAACGGCACGTGGCGCGAAATTATTTTACAATTTAGAAAAAGTTTTTTAAGTAAATAAAACCTAGAGATTTCTATGCAAAAATGCAAAGGAGGGGAACGCCATGTTGCAAAACAGGGTGTACACTCCCATAACCATTTTAAAAAGTGTTTTTATGTTTATTTATTTTTGAGAGAGAAAGAGAGAGAGAACTGTAAGCAGGCTCCATGCTGTCAGCACAGAGCCAGAAGCAGGCCTCGAACCACAAACGGTGAGATCATGACCTGAGCCAAAATCCAGACTTCAGTGCTTCACCTCAATGCTTAACCAACTGAGCCACCCAGGCACCCCACACTGATGGCCTATTATAAGTAAATAAAATGACATAACTACCTATAGCTGAACATAGCATAGAAAGAGTTCTTCAGAAGGATGTGCCCCAAAGTGTTAGGAGAGTTTGCCCCCACAAAATAGGGGAGTGAAAGGGAAGACGGAAGACCTTCACTTTTTACATTATGTACTTCTTTGTGTCATTTGCATTTTTTCAAAGAACATGGACTGGCTTTGTAATATAAAAAATAACAAAATTGTTATGCACTGGAGAAATGTGCAATAGTGATTCTTTTTCAAGAAAATAGTAGTAATCATCTCCTCTATATGTGGCTGTTTTAAAAGTCCTGATTTTCTCTCTAAATAGAATTTGCTGATAGTAGCACATATCAGCTACAGAGCTGTTCTCTACTTTAAAAAAAAAAAAAAAAAAAAGGAAATCTCCCGGATTACATCGCCACTTTCTCACTCCTGGTCTTTCTGCAGCTATAACTATCAACATAGTGAGAGCCAGACATTAGACATAGGCCTAATGATTAGCAGCTTACCTCTGAGCTTTAAAATGCTCTGACTTTGGGGGCACCTAGGTGGCTTGCTTGGTTGAGTGTCTGACTCTTGATTGCAGCTCAGATCATGATCCCAGGGTCGTGGAATCAAGCCCAGAATTGGACTCCGTGCTGAGCGTGGAGCCTGCTTGGGATTCTCTGTCTCTCTCCCCTTCTGGCTCGCTCGCTCTCTCTCTCTAAAATAAAAAATAAAACAATAAAATGCTCTGACTTTGGCAACAAAAGACTACTTCACTCAGCCCTGAGCCCAGGCCACACGTGGGAAGCTGTTGCATCTGAGGTACAGGTACGTAAGCGTATATACATGGATACAGTGCTCGTCAGCCTTCCGAAGCCCTCGCACACACAAGTCTATATTTATCACTCAATGCTCTTCTGGCTGCTGGTGTGAAACATCACCACCTACCTACACTGCACAGCTAAGGAAACGCCCAGACCCGCAGCAGTGAAGGACCAACATCAAGATCCCACTAGGCCTTCTCTTCACAGCCCCCCCCCCCCGCCACTGCACCCCATCCGTCCCACGCGCTATTCGGACGCTGTCCTCTCTAAGCTTGTACCCAAAGGGAAAAACTCCTCATTATCCTATGAAACTGGTTTGGCCTGTCACAGAATACTCTGGACTTGGCTTTCCCTCAGGCCTGTTAGTGCTCAAAAGCTTAAAAATACAGGAAAGCAATATACAGGGGCTGCTTTCGGCCTATGTACCGACGTGTGTTCATCCCAGGCACTGACCTTCTGCCGACCCCATCCAGAAGCATTGTCTAGCCAGGTCCTATTCCCTCCAGGTGTCCCCTTAAGGGAAGCCAGTGACATTTCACATTAAGTGTCCTCTGAGCAGGAGCTTCTTCTGGGCTCCCCGACCCTGCTCAGTCAGGAACCAGGCAAAGCCCAGCTCTCCTGGGACAGTGACGGAGGCTGAAAAGGACAGGCAGTTAGGTTCCCCTGTGGGTGCTGTGCTGCGTGTCAGGGACCTTCAGTGCGGGGACCGGGAGGCTGGGACTTTGTGCGGCCTCGGCCTGGAAGAGCAGAAGCTCCAGACAGCTGCAGGGGGCCTTCCTGGTGCCCGCCTGCATCTGTGAATGGACCCCATTTTAGAGAGGGGTGAATGTGAGAGACTGAGGTGTCATTATTTTTCCAGGTAATGACAGCTAGCATTAGCTGCTCCTAAACAGGCAAGAAAATATTCCAGCCGTGCGTTTTTAATGACGCATCATTCCTTCCTGGGGCCAAGTGTCACTTATTCCCGGGCGGGGCACAATGCTGGGTGCCAGGCCGACGCAAAAAAGCCATGCCGGATAGGAAAACCTGTCACTCCAGGTGAGGACTTGGAATTAACTCCCTGCCAGGCAGGGTTTCTGTAAACCTCACCCCAAGAAGCTGAGAGACACAGGAGTCCTGGGGGGAGAAAAGGAACCAGCGTTTTTAATGGGCAAAGCATGGCATTAAAAAGTGTTGTTATTCAAGTAAAATGGCCAATGTTTCCTTTCTTTTAAGAGAGGCTCTTAAATTCCAATTACTCCGCCCCCGAAGACCAGTTGAGAATAACCCCAACTGGAGGGAATTAATTTCCTTAGGAATTTCACTGTTACAAGATTAATGGAACCCCCCTGCAGAGAAACAGTAAAACTGTAAGTACAGTAGATTTGCACCTGAAGGATACATATTTTAATTTCTGTTCTCAAGCTGCGATAACATCTTCTCGAGCTACTATAAAAAGCATAAATGAGCACCCGCATGTCTGCTGAGAACTTGCTAACACGGAGCTTCCCGGGAGGAGTCCGCACCTGGCCAGGGACGCCCAGGAGCCCCCCCCTCCACCCCCGCTGTGGGTTCATCCTCTGTCCCCACATGCAGGTGGCCAGGGATCACGACCAGGGCACAGCGACCCGCCAGGACGCAGGGCTGGGAAGGGCCCAAACAACGCACCTGCCAGGGAGCCCTGACGGGTCGGGCCTGGAGGGGATCAAAATCCAGAGTAGAATCCTTGGACCAGATTCTGCTAAATGGACCTTAATCCATTTAGCTCTTAATCCATTCTGCTCCAGCCCTGCCACTCACGCTGGCATCCTGGCACCACTCTCTGGAGAGACCGCAGGGCTGGATGCTGAAAACGGAAAAGCAAAAGGTAGAGGATCTGCATCCTGCCCTCCAGAGCCCTCTGGGGAGCCTCACCCCACCGTCCATCAGCTTTGGTGGCCCCAAGACACCCTGGGGAGGTTGTCTCCCAAACCACGTTGAAATATACCTGGAGCTGGGATGCCCTGACTGTTCCCGATAGCCAGGGACTATCCCCGTGGAGAATGGAAACAGGCTGCCGACCCTTAGGAGCCCAGACCTTGATCTCCGACCAGCCGGCCAATTTTCTGTGTTCCTTTCCTTACTAGAAACTGCCTTTATTGGAAGAACTCTATGTATATGCTGGCTATAAAGGTTGTTTATGCTGTCATAGCTAGATTTTTATTGGTTGTATTTTTGCTGCACTTGCTTGAAAAATAATTATTTTCGAAAGAAAAGAAGAATGACATATCCAGTAAACTAAATAAGACTCATGTTTATTAGGGACCTCTGACAGCTCCTCAAACGTGAAAAAAGATTTCGAAGCAGTGAATGGACAATTTATGTGCAAGTTTATTTGTAAAACAGATTTCAAAACATACTTCATCTTGGCTGTGCCAATAAAAATACATTCCATTTCTTTGCAGAAATGTGTGTTATCTGATGGCTCCACAGCAATCCAGTTTCTCCTAAGATACGACTGTGTGGATAAGCTGTACCCGCTAACCTAATCTAGAATCGAAGTGAAGGTTTTGGGGTTGCTACGCATGAAAGAAAAATATGAGTGTATCTCATAAGGTCTCCAGAAGAAATGTATTTATATGAAATGTAGTTCACAAATCTTAATCCAATTTACCGCAATCTCCAAAAACACTTTAGTCAGATAATTTTTAAATTAATTTTTAATTACCTACAATATACCAGGAGAGGAAATTCATCCTGAGAGGTGACAGCCCGTTTTCCCTCCCTGGCATAAATCTAATCTCGTTTACACCGAGGACCAGACTGGGTGGCGGGAACTCGCTGCAGAACCAGTCTCCAGCCTGTAGGTGGCATCAGCCGCCTCCTCAGGCTGGGGAAGGCACATCCTTTGTTGAGTGGTTTCTTTATTCAATCTAGAGAGGCCAGAATTCAGAAATTCACAGAAACTGATTCTGAATCTGTAGAGGCTCTGCCGATCCACCAAACCTGTACTCTCCCCCCTCCCGCCCCCACGACCTGCCAACTTCTAGTCCCTTCTCCTGCCCTTCTCAGTTCAATGGGCTATGCGCTTGACGTCCTGTGACATTTACCAAGTCTCAACTGTGCTGTGAAGGCGTGTCCGTCGAGGCCTGGGGGGAGGGTGGTGGCGAGGACGACTCCGAACGTTGCCACTACACACTCACTTCCACATGCGTCTTTGTTTCCCTGAAGTTGAGGTCCCAGGGTGTGATTACTGCAGAC